GGCATCGGTGCGTTGCTTATAGTGGACGCGACGGAGGGGAGGTCTCCCTCCCGGGTCTGCGCTGGGCTGGGATTCCGGCCGGCGCCCACCGGAATGGGGAAACCGGGGCGAGCCGCCGGTGTCTCCGCGTTTCCCTTTTTTTTTTTAAATGACACTTTTTGAGGGTTTCCTGGCGCGCTCCCGGCCGAGGGTTTACTTTGGCTCCGGTCGCTCGGTGCGTTCGGTCGGGTCGGTGCCGTTGGTTTTCCAACATGGCCTTTGCGCACGCGCGTGGTCCGTGTCAAGCGGTGTGTAAACTACTGAACATGTCGATCCTAAAAAAAAAACAGCAACTACTGAGTACTGAAGATGTCACTCATGTACATATCCTTTCCTCTTCTTTTCCTCCTCATAAAATGGGTCATATCGTATGCCAGGATGGTGTTGTGAGAGAAAATTCAAGCCTTACGGTTTTGAAAAGAGTAGAAGACATCACAAAATTCGGAAACGATCATCGTGTTTGCTCGTTGGAGCGATCGATTCGATCGAAACCCTCGCACCCTCCGACAGCCTCCCTTGAATCGTGTTGGACCCCATCACATGCACGCGAAGGCCAGCGAAGACGTGCACAGGCTTCAGGCCCACCCATTAATCTACATGTAATCTCTCCCCCCTGATTTTCAGGGAGGCCCACCATAATTAGCCCATAACCCTTCCCCTAATCCTCTACTTAACCCGCTGCCTGCTTTCCAAATCGGGAGACTGCAGCCTGTCGGAAATCGAGCGTTCGCATGAGCGCGCGCGCAAATAGGAACGCCATGGCGCTCAAGCTTGGTATGAGTAAAGAATATGACCGCGAAGGAATTATGAAGAAGATGGGATTTATTGATGAGTTTGTGCAACTCAAAATGAAATGTGTCAAGACTGTTTCATGCCATTTTAGAGTGAATGGAGACATTTCAGATGTGGTAGTTCCGGGGCGAGGGTTGAGACAGGGGGATCCCATTTCCCCATGTCTCTTTCTCTCGTGCGCAGAAGGCCTTTCAGCAATGCTCAACAAAGCCAATGATACGGGTCAGCTTAGAGGTTTAAAGCTTGCATCAACAGCACCAAGGGTGAATCATGTTTTATTTGCGGATGACTCGCTTCTAGTCGTCGAGGCAACCACACAGGTTGCGCAAACAATCAATGCCATCTTGCAAACATATGAAGAGTGCCGAGGATAGCTGATCAATCGGGACAAATCTTTGGTTATGTTTAGTGTGAATGCAAGTCAAAGTTTCAAAATTTTAATTATGCAAGAGCTACAGCTTGGAGGTGAAGCCAACGAGGGGAAGTATCTAGGGTTGCCGAGATGACGGAAAATCAAATAATAAATGCTTCGCCTATCTTAAGGATAATATTATTGGGCGGCTACAGGGAAGAATGGACCGTTGTCTCTCCATGGCGGGCAAAGAGATTTATGTAAAAGTTGTGGCCCAGGCAATACCCACGTATGCGATGGCGTGCTTTGACCTAACTAAATCTTTTATATGATGAAAAAAATAGCCAACTGGTATGTCACTACTCGTGGAATAGACAGAATAAGGAGAACAAGATGCACTGGGTTGGGTGGGAAAAAATGAAGTTGTCTAAGGAGGAAGGGGGTCTTTGGCTTTCGTGATCTTCATTCCTTCAATATGGCAATGCTAGCCAAGCAAGGATGGTGCCTGATCTAAGCACTGGATTCCCTATGTGCACAAGTGTTGCGAGTAAAGTATTTCCGCATGGCAATGTATTTGCTGTTGAACAAACCAATGGAATGAGTTATGTTTGGCATAGTATACTGAAGGGCATTGAGGTTCTAAAGGAAGGGCTAATCTGGAGAATTGGAGATGGAACTGATGTACGTATTTGGAACAACCTTGGATTCCAAGGGGGGTAACTCGCCGGCCTTCTGCTCCTCGTGGGTAGAGTTTACTAACTAGGGTTTGCGAGTTAATCGGTCTAGACACAGATTCATGGGATCGATCTCTTGTGGAAGGCTGCTTCCACCAGGATGATGTGCCGCATATTTTGAGTATTCATGTCCATGATCAAGCTGAAGACTTCCTAGCTTGGCATCTTGATAGCAAGGGCATTTTTTCGGTAAAGTTTGCATATAAGGCGCATGCGGCAATGTTGAAGAGAGAGGCTGACAAGCAACCAGGGGAGAGCTCATCTAGTGAAAAAGGGGATTCAGAGATGTTTAAGGCTATATGGAAACAAAAGTGTCCTCCAAAGGTGCATCATTTTTTGTGAAGACTTGCACATAACAACCACCCAATGTATATGAATATTAGCAGGAGGGGAGTCAAACTTGATACGCGGTGTGCTGCTTGTGGTCGACTCTTTGAGGATGGAGGGCACCTGTTCCTGAACTGCAAGATGGTGAAATATTGTTGGAGAGCACTGCTACTGGAGGAGGTAAGACTGCAACTTTCACGGCTTGTTTCTGCAGGGGATGTAGTGTATGCTATCATCTGTCTACCCGAGGAAAAAATAATGATCTCTATTGCTCTCCTTTGGTCCTGGTGGCATGAAAGGAACCATGGGAATCATGGTGAACGCAGAGCAACTATGGAATAGTTCCAATATGCAATTCGGTTTCATGTTAATGAGTGGAAGGAATTCCTATATAAGGAGCTGACGCCCATGGTAATCACTAATAAAAAGTGGAAGAGACCCCCATTAGATACTATCAAAATTAACATCGATGGGGCTTGTTCAGATCAGACCGGATGCGGTGGGTGGGTTTTGATTTGCAGAGACTCATCTTGTGAAGTTCTCTTTGTGGCTGCTGGTTCTCTTGAGTCTATCTCCAGTGCTTTACATGTTGAAACTGTAGCCTTGCTTACGGCTGTCAACTTTGTTGATCAAATGGGTGTGGCATGGTCCTTTTTGAGACTGATTGCCTTGTTCTCCAACAAGCCGTATTGTCTGATTCCTATGATCTGTCTTCTTCGGGCCAGGTGTTCAAAGACCTTAAAGTGAAGCTTGCCACACAATTCATCCAGGCTAGTGTTGTACATTCGTCACGTGAGTGTAACAAAGTCAGTGCATCTGTTGGCGGTGTTCGGTACGGGATTAGCAGTTGGTATTTCTAACCAGTGGTTCTCAAATTATCCCGATGATGTAAACCGTGCTGTCGTTGTTTCCCCAATTATCCTGATGATGTAATTAGTGGTTCTTCATTTTTCATCATCTTGTTTGATTCCACTCGGCCGCTCTCACATGATGGTTGTTGTTTTTCGTGCGATGCTTCTCCTCCTGGTGTGCTATGTGTTTCTATTGATGTAGTGGAAATCGAGGGTGAGATCGGGGATGTTCACCGCCACCAGTGTCGGCGAGTGAAGGAGATTAGCGGCCACCGCAACTCTTAGGCCTTGTACAATGCAAGGTGCTTAGGAGAGATGCTTAGAAAAATAAACCAGACTTTTCTTAAGCATCGGTACTTATTTGTACAGGATAGACGCTTAACTAGGCGTCTCTCCTGTAGAAATAAGCATCGATGCTTCAGAAAAGTCCGATATATTTTTCTAAGCACCTTCGAAGCATCTAGCAGTGTACAAGGCCTTAGCGAGATGCCACTGTTGCTCCTTGATGGAGTCCTGGATTAGGGGGTGTCCGGATGGCCGGACTATGACCTTTGACCGGACTCCCGGACTATGAAGATACAAGATTGAAGACTCCATCCCGTGTCCGGATAGGGACTTTCCTTGGCGTGGAAGGCAAGCTTGGCGATACGATATGAAGATCTCCTCCCATTGTAACCGACTCTGTGTAACCCTAGCCCTCTCCGGTGTCTATATAAACCGGAGAGGTTTAGTTCATAGGGAGAAAAACAATCATACCATAGGCTAGCTTCTAGGGTTTAGCCTCTCTGATCTCGCGGTAGATCAACTCCTGTAATACCCATACCATCAATATTAATCAAGCAGGAGTAGGGATTTACCTCCACCAAGAGGGCCCGGACCTGGGTAAAAACATCGTGTCCCTTGTCTCCTATTATCATCCGCCTAGACGCACAGTTCGGGACCCCCTACCCGAGATCCGCCGGTTTTGGCACTGACATTGGTGCTTTCATTGAGAGTTCCTCTGTGCCGTCACCGTTAGGAAGGATGCCGCACCCCGTCTTTAAAGACGGCGTGGTCGCTAAAGGAGCTTTGGCTGTTGGCCAAACTCTTCGGCTAGGCTGGTTCTTGATGACCGCCTGTTCGGCCGCCGCGCCGACGATGACCTCTCAGGCCATCGAAAGCAATCTTCACATCAGCTCGGAACTCACCGAGCAGTTAGATCCGACGGAGCTCTCTTCCTTGAACGA